TGCACTTGAGTATGTTTTTAGGGACGTGGGTGGTGCTGTGGGTTAAACCACAGCCTAGGACTTGCCAATCAGAAGGTCGGCGGTTCGAATCCCCGTGACGGGGTTAGCTCCTGTTGCTCAGTCCCTTCTCCTGCCAACCTAGCAGTTCGAAAGCATGTCAAAGTGCAAGTAGATAAATAGGTACTGCTCTGGCGGGAAGGTAAATGGCGTTTCCGTGCAATGCTCTGGTTTGCCAGAAGCGGCTTAGTCATGCTGGCCACATGACCTGGAAGCTGTACGCCGGCTCCCTCGGCCAATAAAGCGAGATGAGCACCGCAACCCCAGAGTCGGTCACGACTGGACCTAATGGTCAGGGGTCCCTTTACCTTTACCTATGTTTTTAGGACCCACCTTATCCTTGTGATGGGAAGTTGTTTTAAACTGGTTTTAGTAACCCACACTAGGACATTCACACCGGCTTATTTATTCTGAATGTTTGCAAGTCATGCCAGTAAAGGTTTGATGAGGACAATGACTAGGACATTAAAGTGAAGGGTGGGTTAATAATAATAATAATAATTAATAATAATAATAATAATAATAATAATAATATTATAATGTGACAAGATGATGATTGTGTCCATCAATTTCTGTTAGATTGCGCTGAGTAAGGCACATGTGAAAAATGGTGATGTTCCCTGATTCACTCAAGGTGAATCTCCTGAATAGCCAGTCTTGCCAAGATTATCACCCTGAGCAAGACAGGATAATAGGGTGCTTAAAACACCTAAGGAGAAAGGGAAAGTGGCAAATAGGCTAGGCGATGCCTTGTCTTCAGTCATTACATGTCTAATAAGGACCATTGGAGGCTTGTGGCCTTTTCTGCAGTCCCTTAACTCCTTTAGCTGCTCATTATCCAGTTGATGACAATCTTAAATTCTTACGTTATAGCTCTGAGGACTGTAATTATGAGTGGTGATGAGTCCTCTTTATGCCAAGAGGGCTTTAAAAAAAATGTCTCGAAAACAGGAGCTGTAGTCATCTCCCTGGCAATTTTATCTCCCTCTTACACGCCCCACCCTTTTGCTTTATGTTCCAGGAGAAAAGGTCAGTCTAACTTGCTAGCATTCCCTAGCTCAGAGTGTTCCAACACAGAATCTTCTTCTTACAGTACCTCTGGTCCTCTAACCTTGTTCAGTGCCGTTGATGTATATTTAGGGGGGAAATGTTGCAAGGGAAAGAGCTGAAACTTTTGAAAGCTTTGCTTCTCTTTTGTTCCAGGGACACATTATCTGTATGCTCCTTGATTATTTTTACATATTCCTTGATGATTTTACGTTGAAAACTGCCCTGAAATCTATAGATGAAGGGTGCTACAAAATTTTAATAATAATGATTTTCATCAGAAATATGTAAAAACAGGGAGATGTCTGCAACAGAAAGACATTTATGTGAGGGAGGCATGCTTTTTGTTTGCCTGCTGAAGGGAGCTAAACAAGGATGCTAATAAATGCACATGCTACACATAATTATTCTGAATAAATCCAGTCTTTGGCTAGCAGCCTGCAGGAAAGTGACCCCAAATTCACACTTAACAACTTTATTAAGGGATTATGATTCCTGCCGTGATTCCTACGTCATGGAGAGTGGGCTTAGTTCACTGCTGGAGCTCATGCTAAAGGCCTCGGGCTCAGTGCCTACCACCTTCGGGTACGACTGGGAAAAACTTCCGTCTGCAGCCCTGGAGCACCACTGCAAGGCAGCGTGGGAAGCCCTGAGCATGAGGGACCTCCTGGCCTGACTCAGTCTAAGGTAACCTCCTCTGTTTCCATTTAGATACAGCCCTTTATTCACCACCAAGACGACTGAACTTCTATTTTTAGGTCAAGGACAACAGTTCTGTGGTAGAACATGTCTGCTGGCATGCAAGAGGACCTAGGCAGTGTTTCACAAACTTGGGTCCGCAGCTGTTGGACTACAACTCCCATCATCCCTGACCACTGATCCTGCTAGCTAGGGATGATGGGAGTTGTAGTCCCAAAACAGGTTTGAGAAACATTGACCTAGGGTCACTCCTTGGCATCTCCTAGGTAGGGCTGGGAAAGACTCCTGCCTGGAACCCCAGAGAAGCAATCCCGATCACTGTAGACTTGTGCTTCTCAAAATCCAGCCCCCATGGTCCACTTGAAAATTGCTAATGGTATTGCTGGACCATGTAATGATTTTTCTGCCTGTTGGAGCAATTGTAATGCACTGTGCTAGATGCTGTATGAATTTTAATTTGTATTGCTTTATTTCATTACACTTTGCCTTCCATAGAATTCAAATTGTAATACACTCCAGAACGAATTAAGTTCTTAACCCGAGGTACCACTGCACAATACAAGAAATGCAAGAAATATAATTAAAACAGATATTAATATTTTAATGCAAACATACAGTGGATCCCAGGTGGTCTACAGACCATGGTTTGGGAACCTCTGGACTGAACAATACAGAAGTAGATAAGCCAGTGGTCTGACTAGGTATAAGGTAGCTTCCAAAATGGAAAAGCTGTCTGTTACAGTACACAAGGATACTCCTTGGTAGCCCCATAATGTGTTATTACTATCAAATACTGCCCATTTTTATCTAGCTGCTAGCCTAATGCACGTATGCTTTAAGCACATAAGAGCCTGTTGGATCAAGCTGAAGACCTATGAAGTCCAGCATCCTGTTCTCTCAGTGGACATTCAGGTACTCGTGGGAAGCCTGAAAGCAGGACTTGAGTGCAATAGCACTCTCCCCACTTACAATTCTCAGCAACTGTCATTCAGAAGTATTACATCCTCTGACAGTGGAGGGATGAAATCGTCTCATTGGACTTTACTCTGGCTACCTTCATTGGAAGCAGTGTTAGAAACTGGGAGATGAAACTAGGTGCCATGTGGCTCCTGGGACCCGGGGCTTGGCAGTGAGTTGCAAAAAGGACTCACTGATGACTGCGTTGTCGTGGTGGTGGGGAGTTCTACCCCCATGACTACTGTGTCCTAAAATCCCCTCCATGAAAACAGAAATGTTCTGCATATTGAAAACTCATCTAAGCTGATTAATTTGTTTACTCCTATGATCCTCTCCTACACATAAAACAATGCCCTTTTTTCCTGAAACCCATTTGCCCTTCGGATGTTGTTGCTTGCAAATTGCTGACTTTGGTTGAAAAGATGGAAGCTTCACATTGAAAACGCGCTCTTGCTGTAAGCAATGATTTATATTTCAACAGAATTAAGCCTCAGTAGGGTCAAAGAGGACCCACTGATCTTATAATCCATCTACAGATGAAGAAGGGATGGGTGGAAGGGGTTGAGCCTGTTGTGAAAGCGATGTGCCTTCTTAAGTTGGAATTTGCACAAAGCAGTGACAGACTAAATAGGAATCCTTAAAACTACACAGTGCCAAATCTAGACATAAAAGAGATAATGTTCTTGGGACCAGCCCAGCTGCTTGAGTTGAAGGACAAGATGGTGTCCCCAGTTCCATGTATAGAAGCCAGCTAGCCTAGGTCCCATCTGCACCATATTTTTAAAGCCCGCCATTGTAAACAGTCATGACTTTCGCCAAAGTATCATGCGAACTGTAGTTTGTTGATAGTGGTGTGAGTTGTTAATAAAGGTAAAGGGACCCCTGACAATTAAGTCCAGTTGCAGACGACTCTGGGGTTGTGGCGCTCATCTCGCTTTACTGGCCGAGGGAGCCGGCGTTTGTCCGCAGACAGTTTTTCCGGGTCATGTGGCCAGCAGGACTAAGCTGCTTCTGGCACAACGGAACACCAAAACCAGAGCAGTACACGGAAATGCCATTTACCTTCCCGCCGGAGTGGTACCTATTTTTCTACTTGCACTTTGACATGCTTTTAAACTGCTAGGTTGGCAGGAGCTGGGACCGAGCAATGGGAGCTCACCCCGTCTCGGGGATTGACCTTCTGATTGGCAAGCCCAAGAGGCTCAGTGGTTTAGACCACAGCGCCTCCCGCGTCCCTAGTGTGAGTTGTTAGGAGACTCCTATACTCCTCATGGAGCTATAGTTCCCTAGGAATAGGGATTGAGTCCTAAACTTGTTTGTTGACTTTTGCAAAAAGTGTAAGTCCAAGGGAACAGCATTTTGCAAAATAAATCCAGGCTGGATGTTGGAAATAGCTTCCCCAGACAACATTTTTCTAGTCTACTTTGCACCAGGTGCTATCTGTAAAGTGACATAAGATCATAGCTTCGTTCAGAGATATGCTGTTGAAAAGTGGCAAACACCTGAAAGTGACCTCAAAACTTTAAGCAAGCTGAATTACATGCTCTTGGGTTTTGTTTTGTTTTTAATACTGTTTCCCTCTCCCTCCCTCTTAAAGAATTACAAATCCATGTTGTCATAGAAACTACAGAGGTTGATCGAAACACCTGAATTTAGAAGCTTTTTTTAGGGGGGGGGACCAAAAAAAAAAGACCCACAGTCTTATGTCACAGAGAAAGCTGGCTTGATTTATTCGACTGATGCTCTTCTTTTTACATAGGAATAATATTTATTCGCATATTGTTGGGGAGTTGACCTTGTCCTCAAATGTCTGAGCTTTTCCGTTTTCACTTGAAGCACCAGAAATAGCCTTGATTTGGGTTTAGGGTGAAAGAGCATGGTGGAATTCATTTGTTTTAGCCTTCCTCACTCAGGGAGGAATGCATATTGTGTAATTAACTTGAATGGGTTTTGTTTCTTGGCAAGCTTTGTCTTTGTGTGTAATTATAAGTGTGCATCACAATTTGGTCGTCTGCTTTTTTTAAAGATGCATTTTAGGGTCTGTGGGGGGTATGAGAACCAAACACTCTATAATGTGTATAAAACTACCCCTCCCAACTCTTTGCAAGGAATACTGTCTCTCCTGTTCCTTCAATTTCCTTCCTCCTTTTCCCCCTCTCTGACTGGTAATGCAATCATTGGGCCTCTGGGGGCATTGTGAGATTGCACTACAGAGCATGCTCCTGAGCACCTACTGTGGCTTTGGTTGGAACGCGTGGAGGGAGTAGATTAGGCCTCTGAAACGCCTTGACAAGAATCCCAAAAGGCCTGCACAGACAGACTTGAGGTATGAGCACTTCCAAGTTATATTTTAAAGGGCTGGTTTCTCTCTCTCTCCCCCCCCCCCCCTTGTCATTGGGAGGGTATTTCGGAAGGAAATGCCTCTGTACTGAAATAACTCTAGCAGCAAAGCACTGCCTTTCTGTTATCAGATCCTTTTATCTACTCTGCTGGAAGGGGGTCCTTGTAGCCTGGAACCTTTTCCATTTGCACTGAATGGCAGAGCTGGCTCTGAATTATGAGGCATGCTTCTGTTTTACTTGAAGGCAAGCTGTTCTTGCAAACGTTTATGGAGTCATGCCTCAAAGCAGGCAAAACCATGCTCAAAGCAGCAAGTTGGTTGTTGCTGCTGCTGCTGCTATTGCTGTTCAGTCTGCCCAGCTTTTCCCATTCTTTGCTATAACCTTTTCCTTGTCCATTGCAAATTACATTGTTCTCAACCTTTTGTGTAAGGGGCAGCAAGAATGTATTTTGAGAGCTCCAAAGAGTAAATAGCACAAGGTAACTAAAACCAACCAGCCAGACAAACAAAACTAGGGCTCTAGGGGATTTTGTGGCTACTTTGTTAGGCATGTTGCTTTTTAATGCAGGATTTTGAAATAATTGCTTTAACTGGACCTTATCCCTTCAAAATGGCTTCTGTGTATTAATTTTAAAAGTATAAATGGTCTTCTGTTTTACTCAAACAATAATTCCAAATATGCCCAGTATTGGAGATGGAGCAGCAAGCTCTTAAGGTGCCAAACATTTTTATTTGAAGTTGGTTTATTATCCTGGATGAGGTTTGCAAGGCTACTTTCTTTTGTATGGTAAATAGTTTTCCTCGCATAAAGGTAAATAAAAGGTAAATTGTGTGTACAATGACTTTTAATGGGCCTGTCTTGGCTTTGATTTCCTGATTGTATTGATAGAAGTGTGGTACACTTGAAGTTAGAATCTGTTATGTTTAGAAAACAATTCTAAATGTACCTGGCTTTGAAGTCAAAGAGGACCTAGTTTAGAGCTGAGCAATGTTGCCACCAAGTCATCTGTGCCTTTTATAGTGTTCACAGTTGATTGTATTTCAGTCACACTTAAAATTGATGCTATTTTAGGCTGGCAGGCCCAGGTGAAACTAACACTTTAAAAAACCCACGTGCTCCTCTGGATCATCTGGGGTAATGGTTTTCTGCAGGGTTTCTGTGCAACACTACTGGGAAAGCACAAAATAAGGAGGGAAATTCACTAGCACTGGTCAGGCACTTGTGACTGGCTGTCCATTCACAAACCCAGCCTTTGAAGTGTTTGGTTTCAGCCTTTTGTTTTACTTTCATGAGTCTCCAAGGTGCCTGCCACCATTATCAGGTCAATCACCTTTGGATAACATACTGCGGTTACAATAAGGTGAAATAGAAGTAACTGTGCTTTCATTTTGTTCCTTGTTGAAACAGGCCTCAGCCTCTGGCATCCATCTTGGAAAAACAGCCTGAGTGCTGGAGCTTGCTCTGTTTTAACTTCCTAGACAAAATTATTCACCTCTTCGCCAGCTGTGTTGCATTCTTCACCCTGTAGCTTATAACAGGTATACATGCATGAATTAGAGGAGCCCGGGGGGAGTGGGGAAGAAGAGACAAAATGAACAGAGTATAAATGAATTCAGTATATACTGCTGTACATACAAAAAAATACTGCCTGCCTTATATAACAGAAAACTATTGTGTTTATAAATCCATTCCTTCTCTGGGTTTGGGTTTGGAATAGTGTAGATCAGGCTTTGCAAACCCAGTGCCCTCCTGATGTTTCAGACTACAACTCCCTTCAGCTTATGCAAGCATCAGTCTTCTGCAAAATAACACAAATCCCTCTTCCTCGTCGTGCATACGCACTGGTACAATGCTGTCAGATATTTATTCTCTTATTCAGAAGACCTATAAACCTCTTGATCAAAAAACCTCTCTAAACAGTGTGTAAATAAGATTGGAGATAAACCGCAGCTGAAATCCATAATCTTGATTGAAAGCGTATAGACGTAATACCATCATCATTAAAAACAAACATATATGAAAACCTCTCATTTGATAACTTGTTAGCCACAAAAGTGGTCTTGACTATTGTGATAGGACCTGACATCTGGAGAGGACCATGGTCAGAATTGAGAACATTAACGATCTCAAACAAACAAACAACAATTCTATGCTGATTTTTGGCACAAAAGCCCATACAGCAGTGAATAGCACATTAATGCAAAAATTATTGATTGATCCCATTCTCTCAAAGGAGCCTAGGCTAGCAAAACACATAAACGATACACATTTAAAAGATCTAAAAACAATTTCAATATAGACCGGGAAATATTTATTCTTAAAAGGCTTGATAGAAGATAAAGGTCTTCAGTAGGTGCTGAAAGGGCAACTGAGATGGCACCTGTCTTAATATTTAATGGGAGGGAATTCCAAAGGGTGGTGCCGATAACACTAAAGGCCCAATACAAAGGGTAAACCTATCTTTCATGAATCCTGGTCCCACACTCTCTGGGACCTTATATACCCAAACTAAACCACCCAAACCAGCACCTTGAACTTATAATAATAGTACAACCCCTTTGGCCCTCCATTTGTTGCTGAACTCCCATCATCCTTGGCCATTGAACTATTATCCTTCCTCATACTCTGAACTTTGAAATTGTAACCACATACAGCAGAATGAGGAGGAAGAGTCTTTAAGGGGCAAAACTGAAGGTTACAATACAGACATAGGACTATTTGCATGCAGAACAGATGCTACACCACTGATTTCAGAGAACACTTATTTCAGAGAGCAAACTAATAGGGAAAATGAAAAGGAGATAAAAGCAGCAAAATGCAACAGACTTCAGGGAATATGGAATTCTAGTAAGTCACAAGGCTCAGGATGCTTAGTGAAAATCAAAGTAGAGATGGTGGTATTTGAAGGAATAAGGGGATTTGAACATGTACAAAGAGGGAGAGGAGAGGAGACATTTTTGCAATAATGCTGAATGTTGTGTTGGTATTCAGGATCTCTAGCAATGCACATAAAGGAAGATGGCCATGGAGGTTCTTGTTTGCTTATTGCATTGACATCCATCTTGACTCCAAGGAATTCAAGGTGTTATATGTAGTTCTCATCCTCCCTATTTTATCCTCCCCACAACCCTGTAAGGTAGGTTGACTAGCCCTCAAGTAAATTTTCCTCAATTCCAAAATTGAAAATGGACTGAACTGAAAGCTGCTTGTGACCTGGAAGTCCATCTTTTGAGCTTCTTCTCTGCTAATTAGCACAGTGTCACAGTCTGCTTTTATCTCTCCCAAGAGGTGTTCTGGCGTTTCCATTAATAACTGCCATTGCGATACACAGCAGTAGGAGATCTGGATTTGTGGAGAGTTTGTGGCACAATGATTTTTACAGTAGTTGGACAGCGGGTTTGTGTTCATCTTTTCCAAATGATTTGGAGTACCAGAGCAGAGCAGCACTGGATGTGCTGGACTGCTGTCTTGCCTTGGTAATGATCTGGATGAGAGCCAACAAACAGAAGCTCAATCCAGATAAGTCTGAGGCACTATTCGTGAGTGGTTCCCTAGGTCAGATTGCCTCATCTTGATGTGATTACACTCCCTCTGAAGGAGCAGGTGAATAGTTGAGGGGTACTCCTGGATCCTTTGTTGCCACTTGAGGCTCAGGTGGCTTCAGTGGCGCAGAGTGCTTTCCATCATGTTTGGCTGGTGACGCAGCTGCGTCCCTATCTAGACAAGGGATAGTCTTAACTACTGTTGTCTGGTCTTTGGTAACCTCTACAATGCATTATACATGGGTCTGTCTTTGAATACAGTTTGGAAACATCAGCTGGTGCAGAAATCATTGGCTAGCTTGCTCACCAGTTTGAGCATATTACACAGATCTCAGCCCAACTGCCAGTTAGTGTCTGGTCCCAGTTCAGTGTTATAAAGCCTTAAATGGCCCAGGACCACAATACATCAAGGACTGCTTCTCCCCATAGGAACCAACCCAGATCCTGTGATCACCATCTGAGGCCCTTCTTCGTGTGCACCTTCCATGAGAAGTCTGGAAGGTGGCAAAATGATAACAAGCCTTTTCTGTGGTGGAATTCTCTCCCCAAGGTGGCTTGCCTGGTGCCTTTGTTACATATTTTTAGGCACCAGGCAAAAACGTTCCTCTATAACTAGACCTTTGGCTGATTAAGCATTCTATGGCCTTTAAAGCTGGAGGAGGAAGACTATTGTTTTTGTTCATTTTTGGTTTTTATTTGTTTGTAGTCCTCATCGGGAGACTGACTCTTTCCTGCATTTTTGTCAGATCAGTAGAAAGGAAACGGCATTGATAGGCTGCAGATATGCTACAAATGTACTGTATTTTTCGCTCTATTAGACTCACCGGACGATAGGACGCACCTAGTTTTTAGAGGGGGAATGCAAGAAAAAAAGTATTCTTTAAAGGGAGCGCTGAGCAGAGCCTGTATGCATGCCAGGCTCTGCTCAGTGCTCCCTTTCACGAGCCGCGTGGAGCGTGTGTGCGGGGCTTGCAGGCTTTCCCCTGGCTCTTGGGGGCTTTTCTGGGAGGTGCAAAAGCCACCCGCAAAAGCCAGGGACAGCCGCACGAAGCCTCCGCAGGGCAGTGGGAGGAAGGCTCCCCGTGCCCTGCGGAGGCTGCGTGCGGCTAAGCCATAAGCCAAGACAGCCAGCGGGATCACAGTGCAGCTTAGCCATGCAGCCTCTCCCGGGCAAGGGGAGCCTTCATCCCCTGCCCGGGAGAGGCTGTGCGCGGCTAAGGCTCCCCCAAGAGCTGCACTCCCTTTAAAGAGCGTGCGGTGTGTGCGGCTCTTGGGGGCTTTTCCTCGAGGAGGGAGAAGGACTGCCCAAGAGCCGCACACACACTCCACGGCTCTTTATAGGGAGCGCTGAGCAGATCCTCCCGCCTGCATTCGCTCCATAAGAGACACACACTTCCCCCCTTACTTTTTAGGAGGGGAAAAGTGCGTCCTATAGAGCGAAA